TCCCAAGGCCAGGCTTCCGGATTCCACAGCTGTTTTCGTCCCCTCGCCATCTGTGGGCTCCCCCCGCCCAGGCATTACACTGGCGAAGAGAAAAGGTCGGGGGGGCGGGGGGAAGACCAGGAGAGGAGCAAATACGAGCCCAGAGGGCGCAAGCTCCGGGCTTCATCCCAACAAGAGGATACCGGGCTCCAAACAGTAAGCAAAGAAAACGGCAACAAAAGCTGTTTCCCATCAGTAGACCGACGCACGGCCGGACGAGCCCATCGCCAGGGCGGCGGCACCTGGGCCGGACGGGGGAGGCGGACGTCGTCCCAACGCCCAGGTTTATTCTCCATTTTGTTGGTGCGGATGCCCATCCGTCCAAGACCTACCGCCTGGCTCCTCCGAATGGGACGGCATTTGGAGGCAGGGCCTTCAAAAAGGCGATGAGGTGAAAGTGGGGTCACTAGGGTGGGCCCCGATCCAGCGTGAGTCGTGTCCTTATGAAAAGAGGGGATCCGGGCACAGACAACACAGTGGGGCAACTGTGGGGGACAGGGAGAAGGCAGCCGTCTGCAGGCCAAGCAGAGACCTCAGGAGGAAGGTAAACCTGCCCAAATCCTCATCTCTGACTTCTAGCCCCTGGAATGTGAGGATATTAATTCCTGTTTTTTATGCTTCCTCGCCTAGGGTGCAGGCAAATACAGGCCTCCGATCTCTGGCCGGAGCCTCATGCCCTAGCAGACCCACAACGCAGAATGGGATCCTGGGGTCTGCATTTGGTGAGTTAGAAGCAGAAACAACAGTGACTCTGGGCTGTGCAGGACCAGCACCTTGTCACCCAGCATCTCATCCACTGAAGTTTTGTTTTCAAACTTGCAGCCTGAAGTTCTCAGTGACTGACATTCCAGCCTGGCAGAGCCATCATTGGCTGGGCAAACCCCTGCCGGAGTTTGTAGATTTCCACCTCACGGCCCTTCCTCCCCAGGATCATACTCCCTGGACTGATACTAAATCGGGTTTTAAAGCCAAACTTATCACGCCAAAGATATCCAAGACCTCCCTGTGGCCCTGAGATTTAACAACTGCCTGTGCATCTGTCATGGCTAAGGAATCCAGAACCCCAAAATTAAATTTAAAAAAGTTTTCTAAATAATTAAAGTTTAAAAACATATGCTCAATAAGTAGAAACAATTATTATAAAAATTATTGCTATTGACCCCAACATCAGCCAATGTATACAGGTGTTTGAGCAGGAGAAAGAAGAGATCAAACATGTTCCTTAGGATTCAGCTCATCTCACCATTAATAATTGCCTTCTCAGAAGTTAAAATACCAGGCTCTCTCACCTCTACCCCCTTCCTCACTCTGTTAACTTCCTTCCTGATAAACATGCCCAGGAGGAGCCCATAACCAGCAACTAAGGTTCTCTCTGTTAGTGAAGGGATTCCAGCTGATGAGCCCTACTACTGTGAGGGCAAAGTAAACTGAATTGAGCCCTGTCCTCTGGGATGGAGAGCCAGAGCCCCCAATCCCATTGTCAAGGCCACCGCACCATAGATGTACATTCAGGGTACATCCTGGAGGGAATACAGTAGGTGATATTTCTTTTGATTTTTAATTTAAAGCATACATATTCCCCTCCCTTCCCCCCACTCCCCAATCCAGAGAGGCCCAGGTTTTCAGTTAGTTACCTTACTTCCTCAAGGCCCTTAAACACAACGAGGAGTTTATTCTCTGGAGAGTGTCCAGGGAGAGTAAATGTATAAAGGATTTTGAACATTGGCTGGAACATCTCTAGATGTTAGCTAAAATTTTGTAAGGACTTTATTTCTTCTCTCTTCTTATTTTATAATGCTTCTTATTTGTGGTCATGTGTTTTTCAATTACTAAGCATTAACAAAGTCCTCAGTGCACCTCTGAGCTAGAAGTGTGGCTAGTCCTATATAATAAAAGGGTAATATGCAAATTGACCCTAACAGCAGAATGACTGCTGGATGTCATTATGAGGCCCACTGACCACCTCTTGGTGCCTTTCCCCAGCCATCAGGCACTGATCACCCAATGACGAACCGGGAACTAGAGATGGGTGGCGGCAGGGGGTGGGACCAGCTTCGGACAGCTGGGGAAGATGGCCTTGATAGCAGGCCAGGCCTAGGGACCATATCCATGCATGAATTTCATGCACCAGACCTCTAGTCCTATATAATAAAAGCCTAATATGCAAATCGACCTAACAGCAGAACAACTGGTGGAACAACTAGTCACTATGCCATACACTGACCACCAGGGGGCAGACACTCAAGGCAGGAGCTGCCCCTAGCCCACAGGCCCCAGGCCAGCCCTGCCCCCCCATCTCATCGCCCCGTCGGTCACCCCACAGATGGGTCCTGATCCCTGGCCAGGCCTAGGGACCCTACTCATGCACAAATTTCATGCCCCAGGCCTCTTGTATCTTATAAATATTCATCCTTCAAGTCAGAGGTACCATCTTTTCCATAGACTCAGTAGTAGTTGTATATGCTACCTTCACTTAGAAAACATACCACAGATAAAAAAAAACACACCTTAAATTGACTGGTAGCTTTATTAACAACAATACCATCTGCACCCATTTGAAAACACACATGTAGGAAACATAAGATTTATTCAGTGTATAATAATGTCTAGTGTCCATTTGGATTCATAAAACCCCTGCAATCGACTCCAGGACTCCTTAGCCAAAAGCAGAGTTGAATAATTGATCAGACCATCAGTGTATTTATCAGCAAAATCAAGGCTTGGACAGAAATTTTCAACTAAATAAAACTAAAATGCAACTGTCCTCACATCTGAGGGTACAATGGTGGACAACGTCAGCTGCATGGCCAGTGGACCCATCACTTTGCTTCTCTCAATCGTGTTTATAAAAGGGTTATTAGCCTTGCATATCTTACAGGGTCTGTCTTACATTGTCTCCTAAAAAGCAAATGAGACTGTTAAGTGTAAATTAAAACTCATCTCAGTGTGGAACAAAGGGCTAAAGTATGGGAGGGGGAGGCAGAGGGCATGGAGGGACAAAAAGAATCATAATAGGGGCCTCCTCCCAGCTGTTGCCCTGAGGTGTGACCACCGACAGATTTGGGAAACTCCACAAACAGTTCCATTTTCATGTTTTCACATACAACTAATGGAAATGAACCACACCCATCCTTCCATGGAAATGATTAAGGGGTGTGATAAGAAAATTCAATAAATGTTAAGTATTTAAGTGTCCCTCCACTATGTGCCAGGCACTTAATAGTGCTGATGATATAACAGAAAGCCGGACCAACAAAGTGTGAAGGGCTTGAGAAAAACTATAACAAAATAAACAGATCCAATTTCTGATGGCTGCTAGGAGGAAGATAAAACCGGGAGGGACCAAGACAGGAAAGGAGGAAAAGTGCAAATTCTTGAGTGGGTGACTTGGAAAATGAGGGGTCTTTGAGCCTGGACCAAAATGACCAGTGCCTTGAAGTAACCTAAATTCAGATCTTTCTAAATGGGGGAGGGTGGAAGGATTGAGCAAGAAAGAACTCATGGACAACAGTGCAGTGATTTTAGGGGAGGGGAAGAGTAGGGAGGATAAATAATAAAAAAAAAAAAGATAAAGTTTGGAAACAATATTAAATGCAAAAATTATCCACAAAAATGAGAATGGGGATTTCAAAGCCAAGTGAGCAGAGGAAACCAAAACCTGTGAATTTCAGAACGGCGAGTAGTTTTGAATGTTAATGTAATCCAACCAGGAAGAGGAGACCCTGCGCCCGGACTCTGCTCCAAGTGCTCAGAATCGCTGGTGTCCCCAGGCCACATCGCAGGGCAGAACTAGTTGCCGGCACCACAGCAGCTATCAGATTCTCGGGAAAATCCTTCAGGGTTGTGACGCAGTGTTCGAGGAACCTGGGCTCGGTTGTGTGCTGGGGTCCTTTCTTATGAAGATGGCTGAAGTCACTTCGTTTTAAAAAGCCGATGAAACATACCCGAGGCACCAGGCCACCAGTCCAGGGCCGGAGGGTGGGAGGAGCCGACTCTAACCTCATTTAGAATCGACTCCGGAAAACAAAGAGCACAGGAAGAGGTTAAAGACGCGCCCTCGATTCAAAGAGCAAAGCCTGTCACGGATCAGGAACCCAAAGCCAAAGGTTTGAAAAGCTACGTGTGCCAACCCCGTAACCCTTGCCAGGAAAACTTACTTTGTGGAAATAAACCGAAGAAAAATTAACGTACAGCTACAGCTCTTTCTGGTGATTAGGTGGGTGGCTCTGAAAAGAGCCTTTGGAGTCAAGCAGCTGGCTACTCCGAGGAGCGCCGCGTCCCGGGCGGGACTCACTTGGAGCTGGTGTACTTGGTGACGGCCTTGGTGCCCTCGGACACGGCGTGCTTGGCCAGCTCGCCGGGCAGCAGCAGGCGCACGGCCGTCTGGATCTCCCGGGACGTGATGGTGGAGCGCTTGTTGTAATGCGCCAGGCGCGACGCCTCGCCGGCGATGCGCTCGAAGATGTCGTTGACGAAGGAGTTCATGATGCCCATGGCCTTGGACGAGATGCCGGTGTCCGGATGAACTTGCTTGAGCACCTTGTACACGTAGATGGAGTAGCTCTCCTTACGGCTGCGCTTGCGCTTCTTGCCATCCTTCTTCTGGGCTTTGGTAACAGCCTTCTTCGAACCCTTCTTGGGCGCGGGAGCGGATTTTGCGGGCTCCGGCATTGCAGCAAAGCACTACAAGGATTAGCTGGAAAACGAAGTGAGGCGCTGGGCGGGCCTGATCCTTTTATAACCACTGTATGCAAATTACGGCTTCAGAAGTCTCTCGTTTCCATTGGGCCACGTAGGAACCCAGTAATAAAATCGTGACAACACCAACTCTTGATCTTATTGGTCATTCCTGGAGCCCGTTTAGGACCAATGAAAAATGCGTTCCTGACCCCACCCCTAGGAAAGCTTATAAAGGCTTTCTACTTGTTTATCTTTCAATCCTGCTTCGCTGCGACGTTCTGAGCTTCGGGAGCTTTCGTCTCATTTGCAGTCATGTCTGGTCGCGGGAAACAAGGAGGCAAAGCTCGCGCTAAGGCCAAGTCCCGCTCTTCCCGCGCCGGTCTCCAGTTCCCGGTGGGGCGTGTGCACCGTCTCCTGCGCAAGGGCAACTACGCCGAGCGGGTGGGAGCCGGCGCGCCGGTGTACATGGCGGCGGTGCTGGAGTACCTGACGGCCGAGATCCTGGAGCTGGCGGGCAACGCGGCCCGAGACAACAAGAAGACGCGCATCATCCCCCGTCACCTGCAGCTGGCCATCCGCAACGACGAGGAGCTCAACAAGCTGCTGGGCAAGGTCACCATCGCCCAGGGCGGCGTCTTGCCCAACATCCAGGCTGTTCTGTTACCAAAGAAAACCGAAAGCCACAAGGCTAAAAGCAAATGAATGCTGGCAAAAGACTAAACCAAAGACCAAAGGCTCTTTTTAGAGCCACCCAAGCTTTCAAAAAAAAGAGCTAATGCGCCGTTTTGTGGTCAGCCCTTGATTTGACACTTTGATGGCTCTTAAAAGAGCCTTTGGGGGGGGAGTGGGACGGGTGGTGTCAAGCGTTTTAATTACTTGTTTTTGCCAGGCTTATGACTCTCCGTTTTCTTGGGCAACAAGACGGCCTGGATATTGGGTAAGACACCGCCCTGGGCAATGGTAACACCCCCAAGTAACTTGTTGAGCTCTTCGTCATTTCTCACGGCCAGTTGCAAATGGCGGGGGATGATGCGCGTCTTCTTGTTGTCTCGGGCCGCGTTGCCCGCCAGCTCCAGGATCTCGGCCGTCAGGTACTCCAGCACCGCCGCCATGTACACCGGCGCGCCGGCTCCCACCCGCTCGGCGTAGTTGCCCTTGCGCAGCAGCCGGTGCACGCGGCCCACCGGGAACTGCAGGCCCGCGCGGGACGAGCGCGACTTGGCCTTAGCGCGGGCCTTGCCTCCCTGTTTTCCGCGTCCGGACATCACGGCCAAAAAAGAAAAAAAAAAAGAAAACAGTTAGCAGACTGTTTTACCATGAAAAGGATGTGGAAAGAATTACCAATTTGATTTAATTTATAAGAGCTGTCGGGAGGGGGTGAAGGGAGGAAGTTTGATTGGCAAAGACAGGGGCCTATCAAACAGCCAGTAGGAAAGCAGAGAAGGCAGACCTTCCGGTCGCGTCCGGCACTAACAGGAAATGACGGGCTTCGCCACTACCTACCAATCGCTGTGAACGATATTAAAGTCCCTGGTTTGCATGCCAGGATTTTTAAAGAGACAAGGTTTTCAAATAAAGTGTCTTGTTTTTCCGAGTGGCACTTTCTCCAGTTTAGGTAAATAAATGGTGGCAAAAAAAAACAACAATGCTGGTAGTTTTCCGCAGGTTTGTTTGTTTAGAGCTGAAAGGGAAATCCCAAGAAGGACCCCAAAAGGACTGCGGGGGGGGCCTCAAGCATTTAGTCCCACTCAGGGGCACGGGATTATGAAGCCGATTATCTCCTTGAGCCCTAAATTACCCTCAAAGTCCTGCCGATTCTGTCTCCTCAGTGCCAAACTCCCCTAAAGAATATATACTAAAGAAAAGAAAAGAAAATGTACTAGGGCGGCTTCCTTTCTCCAATTGAGTCCCTGTTAGCAATGTGGCTTAACCACCCCCACCCTCCTCCGCTGCGCGGAATCCGCAGTGACTCAGGGCTACAATGGATTGATCTTCCTCCTCATGACCTCCAGGAGGCGTCCGATACCACCTTCAAACTTGCTCCCTGGGCTTTCAACATGTCCTCCGGCCTACTTTATACAGCTCCTGTTCCTCTGCCCAGCCCTGAATCGGGGTGTGCATCCAGGCTCTGCCTCCCTCCCCACCCTTTACGTAGTTCACTCGTCCCGAAGTCTTACCCATCTCCATGCTTTCGATGAACATCCAAATTTGTTGCAGGAACTCCGAGCCTTATACCAAACTGCTCACTGGATATTTCAACCTATTTGTTCCAAATACTGCCCCTGTATAAATGCCTACCCTCACCCTCTTCTCTGTTGTTTTCCTGAATTGCACCAACAATCTTGCAGGCACGTAAGCCAGAATCTTCTCCTCCCTGCATCTCAACAGCATATCCTGCTGCTTCCTTGACATCTCTTCAGCCTTTCCCTCCACACTACTCTTGAATGCTCATTATCCTGAGATCAGCAGCAGCCCCTACAGATTCATTTGTAGATTCCTAGTCCTCCATCTGTCTTTTATAAAAAAAATCTTTCCTGAAAGTTCTGTTTCTTCCTCCTCAGTTCCCCATCTCTGGGAGTTCTACATCCTGCACACCATTTTCACCTTTTCCTGAGTATCCCATCAGGACATAAGATAGAATGCTCTAGAGCAGTGGTTCTCAACCTTCCTAATGCCGCGACAGTTCCTCATGTTGTGGTGACCCCCAATCATAAAATTATTTTTGTTGCTACTTCATAACTGTAATTTTGCTACTGTTATGAATCGTAATGTAAATATCTGATATGCAGGATGTATGTTCATTGTTACAAATTGAACATAATTAAAGCATAGTGATTAATTATGCTTTAATTAACATAATTAAAGCATAGTGATTAATCACAAAAACAATATGTAATTATATATGTTTTCCGATGGTCTTAGGCGACCCCTGTGAAAGGGTCGTTTGACCCCCAAAGGGGTCACGACCCACAGGTTAAGAACCGCTGCTCTAGAAAAAAGAATCAACAAATTCTATTCCTTGAGCCCTTTTCTGATGTTCTATTTTATCTTCACCTTTATTCAACCAATATTTATAGAGTATATGCTACCTATCAGGCTATGGGTATACAGAATACAGACTAGTACAAAGAACTCTGTAATAAGATGCCTCTAGAAAATGGAAGAATTCTGAACTCTGGAAGTTAAATTAGCTAATATTGGCTATCTATAGAGATTCCCTCTGGTAAGAATGCTGGTATATATCTGTGAAACACCAAATTCAATTAAATGTGATGGGACTATTTCCTCAATAACAGAATATAACTGAAGATAATTCTAACCCAATCCATTACATCATTTCAGAAGATGCATGTGGTAATAGAAAGATCTGGCCCACCAAGAGTCAAAACAGGGCAATCACAGTAGAAATGGTTGTTTCTGAGTATATGTCTGCTAGACACAAAGGATTGGGCTGTTATAGAAGGGACCCTAGTTGTGAAAGGATGAAATATTTCTGAACTCTATCTAACTCTTAGCTCAGATTCCGTGCTCAATTAACAATTTTCTGATTAGTCTATTTGAAGATGAAAATAGGAGGCTGAGAATGGGAGAGCCAGTTATGGGAAAATACATCTATCTCTAGAAGTTACATTTGCATATTGAACAGTCATAAATTTCTTATGTATTTTGTTAGTGTGAGTCTCTCCCCAAAGAGCTAATCAACTCTAGAAGTTCTCATAGTTTCAAATTTTCAGATAGTGGGGACTCCCCCACACACAACTCCGGCACCCAGAAAGGCCCTGATTGGGAGACAAACTGACTTCCCCTCTCTGAGTTCTGATGTTTTTTGGGTTTTTTTTGTTTGTTTTTTACTTCTATCACAGTGACCCTGTGCTGATAGGGAAAAAGGAAAACAGATTATACTTAACTCTCATTTTGTGAAAAATCCTATGCTGGGACCTACCTAGGAAGTATATATAATTGTTTATTTCACAAATAAGGAGTTAAAGGACTTGCCATAAATCACACAGCCACTTACTAAGACATGATTAGAACCTAGGTCTGCCTGAGTCAAAGACTGTGCTCTTTACCACTTCATTCACACTGCTTCACTAACTAGATGTTAGGCTAAGGGACTACTTCACCTACCCAGCATTGCTTTCTTCCTCTGTTAGAGTGAGAGATAAACAATACTTCAGATTCCATCCAGCTATAAAACTGTATTAGATAAGTCTAGATAGGCCAATATCCTTCAAATTATCCCAGCCTCAATTATCATCTATTGCTCCCCAGAGGTCCTTTCCCAACATCCTTACAAGAGCTATTAAAAAATAAAACAGAGCGGGCCATTTATAAAAGTAGTACAGCATCACAGACAAACAGGCTGGATCTTGTTTCCTTAGCACCTCTGGGATTTCGAATCAACGGCAGCTGAGTTCCCTCCCAAGCAATCTAGTTAATCAAACATTTATTTTGCACTTTAGCTCCATCCCACCATTCAGCCATAGTCCTCTCCCTTCCCCTTTCCCTCCGCCTCACCCCACCACCACCCAGCCTCCTACGTACTGAGCTGGTCACATTCAGAGCAGCAAGACCTTTCCACTGCCATTGTCCATAGCTTCCTCTGGCTAGAATGCTTCATCCTCTTGACCTGCAAAATCCTCCTCATCCCCCAGTTTCAGCCCAGATATTATCACCTCTTCCTTCGTGAGGCCTTTCCTACTCCCACACACACAGCCTCAGTATACCCACACCTCTTTGTTCACATCCTGGTGACGGCACCACTCTGTTCTGTGCTTTGACACTGGTCTGATTTCCTTTCCATGACCACCTCAAGGGAGAGACCATGTCTTGATCTTTGAATCGGGGGTCCTTAATTCCCTCTACCTGACCCTTAATATGGTATTTAAATGTTTTTGGCACGATTAAATAAAACAATACTCAGAGAATTGGTGTCATCATTTCTAAAATAGTTCTCTTTAGTCAACAACCACTCTCCAAATGCCCACTATAAATAATAGAGTGTAGTGGCCAGAGTGATGGAAGATATAATAGGAGCTTGTCAATTAACTGGAAATAATATATACTAGTACCTACCATAACAGAGTTGTTAGGATAAATTACAATAAGTGTAAAGAACCTAGTGCAGAGGCTAGAGCCTGAGAGGCTCAGTGCTGGGTTAGGAGGAAGAATAGCTTACTGGTTAATAGCCCAAATTCTACAGCCTGACCCGGTTAGGAACAGACCTGGCACCAACAAAGCAGGGGCATCCTAAAAATTCTTCCAATGAATTTGGAATTTCAAAAATAAACACTGGAGCCTGGCCAGTGTGGCTCAGTGGTTGAGCATTGACCTATATGAACCAGGAAATCACAGTTCTATTCCCCATCACGGCACATATCCCGGTTGTGGGCTCAATCCCCGGTAGGGGGCATGGAGGAGGCAGCTGACCAATGAGTCTCACTCATCATTGATGTTTCTATCTCTCTCTCCCTCTCCCTTCCTCTATGTAAGCAATAAAAACATATATTTTAAAAATAAATAAACACTGGATTTATCCTATGACCCAACAATTCCACCCTGGATATATGCCAAACAGAAATGAATGTTTGCATCCAACAAAAAGCATGTACAAGAATGTACAAGCATGTACAAGTATATTCATATAACTGCAATACTACACAACAATAAAAATTAACAAATTAAATTACTGCCACACACATGGATGAATCTAACAACGTTGAGCAAAAAAACAACACAAATGAATTCATACTATGTGATTCTATTTATATGACTTTCAAAAACCGACAAAAATAATCTATGGCGAGAGAGGGGTTAAACTAACAACTACTATGACAGGATGATATTGACTTCCCAGAGCCTTCCAAGGTGCTGGAAATTTTCTGTACCTTGATATGTGTGTATTTACGTATAAATTTAAGCGGTACACTTAAGATTTATAAATTTCCCATGTGAAAATTATATGCCAATAAGCACAAATTAATTTTTTCCTAGTGAACAAATATTGAAGTAATCATGGTGGGGAAAGAATGAGTACTTTGTTGGGCATCCCAATCCCCATGTTACAGATTAGTGTTTACTGTTGTTTTGTTTTCATTACACATAAGGTGACCACCATAATCTCTAGGTGCTTAAAGCCTCTAAAAATCTTAATGTGGCCATGATAAACCTTCACTAAATGGTAGGTATTATTATGACTGTTTTTACTAGAAATAAAAACTCTAGGTGGCCCTATAGAGCTAGCCCCTTGCAAAGCTTTATCTTTGCAAGAGGAATAATAATGTCAGCCTTCTCTATT